ATAGCCTGGGATTACAAAGATTTGTATTTTAAAGAAAACCAGTTCGAAAAGGGCATAATTTGCTTTTTGGGTTAAAATAATTTCTTAATATGAAATTCGAAGAGTATGACAATTAGATTAGACTGTGCAGAAATTGAAATCTACATGCTAATATACTCATAGTCACCAGTGCTGATGTTGTTAACATTAATCATTTGAGAATAAAGTATAACAATAATAATAATTTGCACGGTTTGATGTGATATGAGCTCATTTAGATTTAATCACCATTGGTAGGGCGATTTATTGTAATGCTTTTTTCCTCAGTTGGTCAGAACAAACGTGGCAGACTTGTTACTTACTTGTTCAGATGACAATATCCGGTGAAAATGCTTATTGGAGTCATATATTCCAAGACGTAGGCTAGAATCTGAGAGTGCAAAGTACAATATCCACACCGGTGCGGTGACTGCCACACACACATACTCCTCAAAACATTAGATTCATCGGCGCTGGAGCCGAGCCGGAGCACAACCCACGCAAGCTAGATAATTCTGCACACAGCTGCAATTGCAGGTTTTCAAACAGAGATGGCGACAAAGAGGCAAAACTTACGGACTGCAGCTTTAACCATTAAAGCGTATTGAATGTTGACATGCGTTTCAAATATAAAGTTAAGTAGGTAATTACCAATTTTACTCATAGTAATTTAATAATTTAATCAATTCCTAATTGAAAAGTTCAGTTTAGAAGTATCATATTGACATCGACGATACTGGCCTTTAAAAGTATCGGTATCGAAAACAAAATAAGTGGTATCGCCCATCCCTAGTCGCGACCCGCGCATTTCGCTAAACGTCATAAAGAATCCTCGTGCTCATTGGCTGCTGCCTCTGCGCACACACGCTAGTAGCTCTGTGTAATGAAATTAGACAATGGAACAAACTTGTTATCCTGCTTTACCATCAAACACAAGGGGAAAAACCAGTATCTGTACAGCTGAAGAAGCAGCTTTGAAGCCAGAAGACCGACAAAACCAGCATAAACATGTGGCAATAACACGGTGGAATATTTTGATGCTGAACAATACTGAGTAGTGACAATTTGCTTCTTTTTTTGTGTTAGACAGGTAAGATATCTAATTATCATGTTAACCTCTCTCTAAAACTCACAAGTATCTTTGTATTTTATATAAAACTCAAGAGAAAGTCATACTGCGTCTAGTACAGGAAGAATGCTAATGCTAGCTAAACTGAATGCACCATTATTAATATGTGGGTCAACTTCACAACCACTAGTACTGCCTGGTGTGGCCACGAGATGGCAGCGTTTCTCAGTTAAATCGGGCGTGAATAAGAATTTAAAAAGACTCATGAATATTGATTAAGGTAAGCCACTGGGCAGGCCAGGACGGTTGCCAAGCAGCATAAGCATAATTATATTCTGGTAAATCAGAGTCACCTGATTAATATTCATACACAAGATGGCAGCGTTTCTCAGTTAAGCCGGGCGTGAATTTACGAATTTAAAAAGACTCATGAATATTGATTGAGGTAAGTCACTGGACAGGCCAGTGCGGTTGCCAAGCAACGTCATAATAATTATATTCTGTTAAATCAGAGTCACCTAATTAATATTCATAAGGTAAACCTTTAGCTGTACTGTAGGAGAATAAGCCACGTTTGAAACCAACTTCTTTAAATGTACTATGTAAGTGTTAAACAAGAACACAATACAAATAAACAGGCTGGTTTATTTATATAACAAGGCAGGCAGGCATAAAACAGGGATTTTATGAAACATCATGCGCTTTCTCAAATTCAACACCCTGAGAGCTTCATTCAAACGTGCATATCTCTCAATACGAGAGCTTTATATAAAGAAAACATGTATTTCCAACAGTGCATTATTTCTTAAAACTAAATATCCTCACTAAAATATATAATATTAATATAGTATTGCTTTAGTCTTTGGCGGTACATACAAACGTGTTATTTCAGCATTAACCTCCTGAGACTTACCAATTCAGTGGACATATGGACACTGCTTTGTTGTAATAAATAATAATTGTTTTTTTAAGTGATCTCAGATTAAAATTTGGATGAAAAATTTAATAAAAATATTAAATATTAAACAAAAACCTTAAAATGTATATATGTTAGGTTATATTAAGTAACCTAACATGACTAACAATACAAGTAGCTATCAATACTTTTTATTCCAATAGAGTTATATGAAATAACTAAACATGTCAAACTCTTTCGTTGGGTCTCGGGAGGTTAATGACAGAGCGAGCTCACAGTTCTTTGGTGTGTTGATGTCTGATTCTCCTCTTCACTGACGCGCCGCCGCTGCTGCACTCCTGCAGTCTGACGCTCTCCAGCCCTCCCGCGTCATCCAGCGCGCGCGCGCTGCAGCTCGGCGTCGCCACTTTAACGGTGTTTCCAAACTTAGAATAGTCCACAGCGTACATCCCATCCTCCTCAGACACCGTAGGCACAAACCTGTGACCCCACAGGATCTCCTCGGACAGGTAAGAGGTCCGCGCTTGGGTGGTGATGCCGGTGGTCTCCACCACCCCCTCCAGTATGACGACCACCTCAATGTCGCGGTGCTGCAGGTCCGCCGCCGACAGATCATACAGAGGGCTGTTTTTATCAATAACGTGACTGATGATGAGGGGAGACACCAGGAAGATGCTGTTGGTGCCCACCGGGTTGTCCATCTGGATGTCTATCTGGTCCAAAGGCACGATCTCGCCTTCATTGGTGACGGTCTTGCGCACCACCTGCACGTGGACGGTGGCACTGATGATCATGCTCTTCCTCAAGTCCCCGAGGCGAAACATAAAGCACAGTTTGTTGTTTCGGACGGTTATAACCGCGTGCTTGCTGAAGATGAGCGTTTCCGCTCGCCGATTCGCTTGCGCTGTTTTCATGAAGATGCATCCTAGCATGATGGCATTGATCACCAGACCTACGATGTTCTGAATGATCAGTATCACGATGGCCGACACGCACTCCTCCGTGATCATCCGTCCACCAAAACCAATGGTCACCTGGACTTCGATGGAGAACAGGAACGCGGAGGAGAACGAGTGGATGTCCGTTACGCACGGCACAAAGTCGTCACCTTTCTGGTCCAGATCTCCGTGCGCGAACGCGATGAGCCACCAGATCATCCCGAACAAGAGCCAACTGCACAGGAACGACATGGTGAAGATCAGGAGGGTGTGAAGCCATTTTAGGTCCACTAGTGTAGTGAAGACGTCCAGGAGAAACCGTCCTTGTTCGCGAATGTTAGTGTGAGCGACGTTGCACGTTCCGTTCTTGGCGACGAATCGCGCCTTCCGCGATTTAGTCTTGAATTTGGGCTGTAACACATCCTCCGCCAAGCGAGTCAACAGATAATCCTCGGGAATGAGTCCTTTTCTGGACAACATAGCTGGTCCATGCTATAATTTCGCGGCTGCGCTACTAAGTTGTATCGTGGCTCATCTTTTTTTTCCGCACAAAGTCTGCGCGCTCACAGGAGGTGAGGAGGTCCCGTGGGAAGACGCCACTTTTAGTGCTCCGGCTGCCGCTGCCTGTCAGTTGCAACCGGATATGTTCTCGCACATCCTCAGATGTGACATTGGGCCGGACAGAAAGACTCGTTCAGCACAGGGCATGCGTGCCAAACGCCAACTTTAGAAACAGCTCTGCGTTAACAATTAAACGACACACTAGACTAAACTACTATACTTATGTCATAGTGAGGACTCCAGTTCTAAAGAGACACAACTATATTAGGCTATAGTCAGGGGGCCCCATAGCAAATTCAGTGCACAGGGCCCAGAATTCCTAGCGACGCCTCTGACTCAACAAAGTTGTACTGTGCTGTTGAATTTTCCTATAAAAAAAATAAAATAAATATAAAAAGCATTACTAATATAACAATTTATTTTACAACTTTTTTTAACCTCAGCCTGCTAAAAATATCAATATATATAATCAATATACAGTATATATATATTTTTAATCTCAGTTTTTATCCTAAACCTTTTAAAAAAGGACATTATTAATGTTTTTTTATTATTATTATTTCTAACTTTTCTGACCTCTAACCCGGTCTAATTTATATTGTTTTGTTCATTTCCAACTTTTCAACCTAATCTATTAAAAGAGCATTGTTACTAACTTTTTAACCTAACCTTTTAAAAAGGAGAATTGCATCGTTTTAGCTTATTTCCAACTTTTTAACCTATATAATATTTAATTTATTTGCATTACATATTTATGTATAATTTCTGACTTTTTACTGTATTAAAAAAGAGCATTAAAATATATAACCTATTAAAAGAAACCTTTTTTTTTTTTATTCTATTGTTTGAAATGTATTTTTCTAATTTAAGGTTTAACAAATTAGCATAATAAATCATAGGCAACAATGCTAAAGTACTGTACTACACTATAATCTGCTATATTATGCTACATTTCACTCTGCATTGACAAAAAATGAGGATGCCTGTTCAAATGAGACAAACTATACTATCTTATACTATAGACAACTGTAATACACTATAGCTTACTGTACTATTATACTATAATCAAGTGACACATTTAGCAGTATTAAAAATAAAAGGGGAAATATTTAAAAAGAGCATACAGGTTACAGGTTGTTTATATATTTTTTATTAATAAATGATTAACATTTTATTTACAAATGTGATGATAATCACAGTAATAAATTATTCATTCTTCATGGAACAATTGCACTTTCAGTAGATGGTCTCTGGTTTATTTGTCGGCTCGCACGAACGAAGCAAACACACTGTCCTCTTGATTGAGGAGAACCTCTGGTTTGTCAAACTCCAGAATGACGCCTCTCTTCATCACAATCACCAGGTCTGCATTCAGGATGGTGTGCACACGATGCTGTGGAAAAACACACACACACACACACACACACACACACACAATGACGTTCAAATGCCTGAGACCTTGTTTGACCAGGATGAATACCTCTCAATCATTAAAAGCATTCGATCGTCGTCATGATATCGGATTTGAATGACAACCAGACTTTAAATATTAAAGTCAGAAAGCAACCTAATAGGAAACTTACGGCGATGGTGACCACAGTTCTGTCGGCGAAGGCAGTCATCACAACTTTTTGTAGAATGCTCTCCTATTAAGAAAAAGAGCATTATTGGCATATTGTATAATTTTTTTATACTTATACTTTAGAACCTAACCTATTAAAAATAACATTATTAATATAAAATATATATATATATATATATAAATACATTCAAACCTTTTAACCTAACCCACTATATAATATTTAGTTTTTAGAATTCCAAACTACAAAAGCACTATAAATATAAAAAGAGCACTATAAATAAATAAACTTTAAAATAATTTCTAACCCTTTAACCTAGCCTATTAAAAAGAGCATTATTAACATAATTATTATAGTATACATTTGTTCATCATTTCTAACTTTTAAACCTAACCGGTTTCTTAAAAAGCATTACAGGATAATGTTTTATAATCTAATTTTTTTAACCTAACCTATTAAAAACAGCATTATATTATATTTTTTATAATTTATTTTAACCGTATCTATTCAAAACAACAGTATTGATATAATCATTATATTGTTTTCAATTTAATTTCTAACTTTTTACCTTAACATATTAAAAACAGCCCTATAATATATTATAATGTATTATACTGTTTTTTTAATAATCTGTAACTTTTTTTTATAATCCCTAATTTTAAGATCTAACCTAAAACAGCATTGTTAATTTATCATTTTTAATTTCATTTCTCCAATATATGTATTTACAAAATATTAGTAAGAATTAATTATATTATTATTACAATTTAAGTGATTTAATTGAAAAGGTAATATGAATTTCAGTTTACATTACTTCTATATTAGTGCTTTAATGATGGCTTGCATTCATTCTGGAATGGGATTTTTATATTGAATTCTTTATATCAATCTGCAGGTGGTGTATAAACACCAGCACTTTTCTCACAGACGCTTTCCTTTCATTTTGAATTAGTCAAACTGACCCAAACTGTGTCCGTTGCTCTATTAAACTCAGCCAGTGCGTTTAACAGAGCCACGCTTCATTTATTCAGAGAGATGAAGGCAGAGGAGAAGAGTGCTTGAAAATCGAGTGAAGTGAATCGAGGTCTCGGCCCCTGGGTGTTTTTCTTCTACCTCTCAAGACTCTCTATTGTACTTCTAAATACACACACACACACACACACACACACACACACCGTAGCCATGTCTATAGAAGCAGTGGCCTCGTCCATAATCAGAATACTGCTCTTCCGCACGAAAGCGCGCGCCAGACAGAAGAGTTGACGCTGCCCCTGGCTGAAGTTCTCCCCACCTTCAGTTATCATGGCATCTGAAACGCAAGGTGAAAGATCATCAGTCATATATTTAGAGAGCTTTTGATTTGCACTCTAAACGGTTTCTGTGTGTTCAGAGTGAAATGTTGGTGCAGCTGGTTTGATGTGATTCTCAGCTGACCACACAGTCAATCTGATGTGCTCACGGTTAGAAATATAGCCGTTTTTCTGTGAAAAAAAATGAGATCTTAACCTTATTAACCTCATTTCTCTAAATTCAACATGACCAAACCTTTGCTGAAAAACACCTGTTGTACAGAATCTGCTACATGCTTTCTGATTGATTGTTTATACTTTTATCAAGTAAGAAGTCTATTAGTTTAATTGTAAAATCATCCACCTTGAGGTTGTGGTTCATGTGTGTTTTTGCTGAGAAATCCTGATTCTTATAAAGTAAACATAAGAATAACACTTATATTGTTAGTAATATTTGAAGATGAACACTTACTGGACTGAGGCAACTTTTTACTTGAGTGCTTAATTATCCATGCATAATTGTTTTTTTTTGTTTTTTTGAAAAAATCATGTCAAAATGGGAATCCATCAGGCTTTTGATTAACATTTAGCCTATTTGTTCATCTCTCCATCATCATTGTACTGCATTGCATTATTTGTTTTGAAACTACAGAGCTTTGATCCCAAAACGAAACATTCAAATATCATCTTACGGGAAATGTAGAGTGACAACTGCTATTTATATGATTCTATGCAAGTAGACCGCTATAATGTAGAAATCAAACTGATTTACAAGCTTTTTTAGAATTTCATTATACATTTTGTTCATATAAACATCAGCATCTGCACCAAATTGCATATTTGTGACCCTGGAGCACAAAAGCAGTCTTAAGTCGCTGGGGTATATTTGTAGCAATAGCCAAAAATACATTGTATTGGTCAAAATTATTGATTTTAATTTTATGCCAAAAATCATTAGGATATTAAGTAAAGATCATGTTCCATGAAGATATTTTGTAAGTTTCCTACTGTAACTATATTAAAACTTAATTTTTGATTAGTAATATGCATTGCTAAGAACTTCATTTGGACAACTTTAAAGGCGATTTTCTCAGTATTTTGATTTTTTTGCACCCTCAGATTCCAGATTTTCAAATAGTTGTATCTCGGCCAAATATTGTCAAATCCTAACAAACCATACATCAATGGGCAGCTTATTTATTCAGCTTTCAGATGATATATAAATTAACCTCTTAAGACCTGGCAAAACATTTTAGGAAAAAATTAGTATTTTTTCATGTCATTACATTGTTTAGACTGAGCATTAAAAAAAAAAAAATGTTAAAATTATATTTCATTCATAAGTTATGCTACGTCCTTGGTAGTGGACATTGGGACTTAATTTCTTTAAAAAAAATAAAAAGACATGAATGAACATGCATAGGCAAAAACAATTGATTTAAAAATCTTTTCAGGATTTTTTTTTAACTCTGTATAAAAATAATTCTCAACTATGTTATAACAGAATGATTTGATATAC